CCAGAGAGCCAAGTTCAGGAAGCAGTGGCCATGAGCATGCCCACGGGAACAGCCAGACCTAGACCCTCACCCTTGCAAATACTCTGTGCTCTCCCCTCACTCCTAACAATGGCCTGAACTGCTCCTCAGATGGGAGCCGAAGCCCTGCCCATGGCTGACCAGCCGTGGCTGCTCTACAGCTCCATGCCTACCCACCAACCCTTTCTCCCTGTACCACACAGTACCAGGCAGATGGCTCTGCTTCCGCTCCTTAAAACATGCAATTTCTCTCTCACCTAGAGCACTCCTTCCAGCCTCTCCACCCAGGCTCCCCCTCTCCCTGGAGGTCCCACATCCTACGTTAGTGCCTCTGTCCTACTCATTCATGGGTCACTTTCACCTTGGATAGGAGTCCCTCCCTTAGGCTTACTCTTTCATTTCACTGTGCAGCACTGCACATAGTAGGGGCTCAAGACCAACCTTGTCTGTGCCAGGCTGCACCTTCATGGCCAACTGAGCAGAAGCAGAAAGCCTTCTTACAAGTTTAGTCATTCTCACCTCAGAACAGTGAGGGGCTTATTAAATTCCTTTTAATGTCTATGAAAATGGTGCACTTCTGCCTCCCTCTCCATCCCTGGCAGGGCTACTTCACTGTTCCTGAAGACTGCTGAGTGCTCCTGGCCACCAACTTGTGACTACTACCAATGCCACCATGTGTCCCTCCTACGGATGCCACAGAGCGTGAAAAAAATCTGTCCTCAAAGGACCAGATCAAGGCTTGAGGTCAGAGAATCTTTTCCAAGGCTTAGGTAGAGGCCTGTGGGGAGAGATGTGTTCACAGGGATTGCTGACAGCTGTTCTTCCCTTTAGCCTGGGCACTAAGTGGCCTCAGATCACACGGTAGGGACTGTTCATCATGTGAGCTTTGGAGCATATGAAATAGGTGGGTGTCAAAGGTTGAGATGTCCCCTGCTTCCCGTAAGATGCCTGTAAGATCTTATGTAAGTCTCCTTAGGTTTCTAAGCATCCGTCTTTCATCTATTAGGTGTGGACCATGCAAAGACAGCTCACGGAGGACACACGGTGTTGGGAGTTCAGTTCAGGTAAGGAGGAAGCAGAGCAGAGCTGAGCCATGAGCCCTGCTGGAGAGGCTGCAGCTGAACAGACCTGATGTCACATCTTCAAGGAATGGATTCTGTGGCTCACTGAGTTTCTCTATATTAGCAGAATGGTGACATCGAACAATGAGTGACACAGGAAGAAAGACAGATTCCTCTCCCTGTGTGCATGGAGAAGAGCATGCCATGTCTGCAAAATCCCCACTAAGAGCCTTCCTTTCCTTGGCCCACACATATCTGTTGGAGGGAGAGAAACTTGCCTCTTGAGAACCCAAGAAAGCTAAAAGGGTTATGATGACTGGTGGCGCCTGAAGAACGCCTACTTCTGAGGAAAGAGAGAATCAGGACATCCCTCCCCCTCTCTGGTCAGGGTCTCCTCTACCAGGAGCCTGATGACTAGCCCTCATCTCCAAGGCAACAAAGCCAGCTCAGGGCCAGAACCACTCAGGCAACTGACAAATCCCAACTCAAGTAAAAGAAAGAGAAGCTTCAAGCTGTAAGTGACAGCTGGACATGTCATGTGACAGTCATGCATCACTGAACAAGAAGGATATATTCGGGGAAATGCATCTTTAGGTGATTTCATCATTGTGCAAACATCATTGAGTGTACTTACACAAACCTAGATGGACTGTAGTCTACTACACACCTATGCAGCCTATTGCTCCCAGGGCCATGGTGAACAAAAAGATCAGATTAAGTCCAGCACAAGAGAAAGTGGCACCATCAAGAGACTAATCAATTGGAGGGGTACGAAGCTTCTGGTGACATAACACCACATACTGTTTATAGAAAATCTTGTATAAGTAGAAAAAGTGCACTCTCAAATAATGATAAAATGTAATAAATATGTAAACCAAGAATGCAAATGTTTATTATCATTATCCAGTGTTATCTATTGGACTTAATTGTATGTGCTGTACTTACTGGTAGTGTAGGTTTGCTTACACCAGCATCACCACAAACATGAGTAATAGGTTGTGCTACGACATCACCATGGTCACGATGTCACCAGGTGATGCGAATTCTCCAGCTCCATTATAATGGTATGGAGCCACTATCTACATGGCCCATCACTGACTGAAATGTTATATTCATAGGCGAGAATACAGAGATCCTTGAAGCCCATGTTATTCAAGATGATAGCAAGATGGTGGAATTTGTATGTTAAGGAAAACCTAGAGGTAGAAAGGCMAGATGTGTTTGAGACATAGAAGAAATGGCTTTGACTGCAGGATACATGGGTCTACAGAAGGAGGGTGGGCCCAGGGTGTGAACTGTGGACTTAGAATCTGGTCTTTGTCCTGTAGGAACAGCAGGAGGTGGGATTTGAGCAGATGGGATAGAACCTCTGTCTAATGCTATGTCAGTAGCTCAGCCTTCTCTTCTGCTCCCCTCCCCTTTCCTGATATATCCAAATGCATGTACATACATTTCTTTCCCCATAATATCTCTCTCTCCCTCCAGGAAGAGGTCTCCATGAATAGATCCTAGGAAAAGGGATGCAGCTGAGTCAAACAAAGCCAAGAAGTGCAGAGGGGAGTGAGAAGCTAGTCTCGTCTTTATGCTCCTGCTCTTGGCAGGGAGTATCTCTGCAAGCCCCAAGAACTGAGCTATTGCATGACAGCTATGAGGGAGAGCCCCTGGGGAGTGGATCCAGGTACTGGTAGCATTAGGATTCAGGGGCAGTAGCATCTCTCAGATCAGCCAAGTTGGCCTCATTTGCTCTCACTGTCACTTGGGAAATATTTGTCTGTTTCTAAAGATGTTCTAGGTTGTCACGATTGGAAAGTAGGTGCTACTGTCACCTAGTAGGTTTGTTGCTAAACATCCTGCAATGCACAGGACAGCTCTCTACAACAAAGAATTATTTGGCCCCAAAAGTCAATGGTGCCAAAGGAGAAGCAAGCCCTGTTCCAAAGTCTCAGGTTCCAGACATAGTGGAGAAGCAGGATGCCCCCATACTGTCTTACTAGACCTCTGGCTGGCACACTCGCAGGTCTTCATCTGCTCCAGAGGCAATTCTGGGAGGGGACATCATGGTGAGAGAATCCCTAAGAGTGACACTTTCCAGCATGGGAATAAGAGCATGTTACTATAAGGTAAGTGGACGTCAGCCTCCCTGCTTTCCCCACTCAGCAACAAGGATTATTGGACAGGAGCTGCTGGTGGTTTCTGTACTCTGAAGGATAGAGGCAATACTGTCCCAGGACAGTGGAAGTAACTCTGGCACCTGAAAGCCACCTCAGCAGTCTCTAATAACCCAGAAAGTTTGCATGGTCCATAGTCCTTTTCCCCCAGCTTCCAGACCCTCCTGAACATGTATGTGCCCATGTGTATGCATGACACAGAGAGAAAGAGCCCATACACATGTAAACACGGAACAGGACTCAATGTAGCAGGAAAAATCCTGCCTTGGGAGTCATCCACCTCCAGCTGCCCATCCATAGGCTCAGATCTCTAGGGACACCAGTTCAACACTTACCATAAGCCAATGACAGCTGCCCAGTAGGTGATGAGGTGGTGGTGATACAAAGGGGCAGTAACCTTTATATAGGCCCATATGAAAGCCAAAGGCACTGGGGGAAGACCTTCAGAATCTGAGGGTATGGCTGTGTGCACCCCCCAACCTGGCTTCATTACTGGCTTATCACTCCACCTGTCCCTTTCCTCACCCTCAAAATGAGATAAGAATGACAGCTAACATTTGGAGACCACTTACTATGTGCCAGGCACCTTACATGCATGTCATTCTCACAACAGCCTTGTGAGAATTTTTATTACCCCAATGATACGGGTGAGAAAATGGAGGAGAAATGGCTGTTCCAAGATCACATGGCCAGCAAGTGGTGGAGACGGTACTGGAACACAGCCGCCCAATACTGGCAGTTCTAAGGAGAGGGTGGAAGCTCCTGGGCCGATCTGCAAAGCAGGTCAGTATAGTCCGACGTTAGAAGGGGTTCCAGAGGAAAGCCCTCCATGTGGACAGCATTTATTCATGGTGGAAATTCAAATTAGGGAACTGTCCTCTACCCCGTGGGCCTGCAGTGCCAAAGGCGACCAGGCAGATGCCCATGTAAACACTCCTTAGACCCACAGCCAAGTGCCCTGCTGCTGTTGGCTGGGCAAGCTAGACCAGCTAAAAATAGAGGGTTCTCAGGTCCAGCTCCCTGACAGCAGCAGGCAGCCCCCTGTGCCCCAGCCTCCTCCCTCCCTCCCTCCTCCTTTCCCCTGAGAGCAGGAGTCAGTCTTCTAGAAGGAACAGAGATTTTACCACTTCCATTTCAGGCTAAAGAAGATAGTTAGCCTGATGTCCAGTGGACACGATTTTAGTTCTGGACTAGCCATAATGCGCAGGTTGTGACCCCAACACCCACCCAACTCCCTCCTATAGAGAAAGCTGCCAACCTCCAAAACCCACCCAAAAAAATGAATGAAGCCAAGGCCAAAACCTGACCAGTTTCGGCACACCTTGCAGTTTATTCGGGAACCCCCTTGCTATCTTTCCTTCCTTGAACTAACTCTCAATGTTGATGGCACTGTGCCATTTCGGCATTGGCCAGTGACTTTTCTCAGGAGGTCCCTTTTGGGACCCCCTACCCCTAAGTTCCCGGAGATGGTGGGGATGAGACAGCAGCCAGCCACAGGGGAGAACAGTCCCGCAGCCCAGGATCAGCGCTTCAAGCACAGGGGGCGAGAGGCCAGGGACACCAGGAGGGACTCTCTGGAACCCGCGGCCTCTGCAGACCACAGCCTGGGTGCAGGTCAGGGCTAGGCTTGGGGATTTCCTTTCAAAGGTGACTTAGAGCCGCTTCATTAGGATAGCGCCCTCCCGGGCGGGTCCTAATAGTGTGTTTGGCAGAGTCAGCGAAACGCGGCGCCCAGTGGCTCTGGCGGCGGGGGAGCGCCCTCTCCCGCGCCCTGTCCTCTCCCGCGCCAGGCAGCGGTGCGCACGGGGCCATTTGCAAAGCAGGCAGCCTCGCGAGCAGCCGCGGCGCGCCGGCCCGGAGGGAGGTGGCACCATGGAGCTGAAGAAGGACAGCAACGCCGTGTCCATCGACATGCTGCTGATCGTGCACTCGGAGAAGCGGCGCGCCGCACAGGGCGCGCACATGGACTCGCAGGCGGACCCGGGCGCGCTGCTGCAGCGCCGAGGAGGTAAAGCGCGCCCGGCCCGGGTCCCTCGGCCCCTTGGCACCTCGGCCTCCACGCCCCAGGGCCCGCCCGCCGAGGGAAGTCTCATATGCCCCCGAAAGAAGTCAGCAAGCCGGGTCCTCTTCCCCTACAGCTGCCTGTGCCTCCACGCCTTAGCACCGGCGTCCCGTGGCAACGCGTAGCTGGGTGGTTGTCCTAGCTTGACTCCCAGTGTGGGCCTCTGGGTGCTTCGGTCACCCGGGAGCCTGTTTCCTCGGAACCACTCCCCGAAGGGTGCAGATCAGGGTTGGAGGATGCCCTGGAGAAAGGGGGCCAGAGCCTCGGGCTGACTCATGTGTGGCAGAGGCCTGCTGCCCCATGTAGCACACTGCGGGGCACGAGGGACCCAAGGGGCATCTGTGTACTGAGCCAGATTCTGAGACTAGGAGCTCCCTAGGTAGCCTTGCACAACTTATAACCTCAGTTTTCCCTTCTTCAGTCTCATTCCCAGCCTCCTACAGATAGAAAGAGCACAGGCTTGGGTGGGATGGTTCTGCTCTCTCAGCTTGAACTTGTCCATCAATGTTACTTGTTCTACAGACTTTCTGGGGAAGTGAAAAGTGGTCAAATAAAGTAACTGGTTATAGAGCGATTGTGGAAGGGGACCCTGGCCTCAACTCAGAAGCATTGTGAATAGAGTATAAATGGTTAATAATGGAGGTTAAATAAGGCCCTGAGAACCATGGGAACCTAAGGGTCCTGGTCTCCCAGGCTGGTGTGGGGTTGCATGTCTGTCCTAAAGACTCTGACACCGAAGGACAGTACACCAGGTCTTTAGGAGTGATGTTTGATAGCCCTTATGAGGAAATGATTTCTCCCTCCTCACCCCCCAACTTCCCCTCCAGTTCTGGAGCTCCTTGGAGCTGGCTGCCACTCTGCCCCTGGCTCTTCTGTCCCCAAAGTCCCAATGCACATTGACCAGCCACCCTCCACCTATCCCATTAAAGCACCAATTCTGTGAATGGTCTTGTCCCACAAGCCACCCAGGCTGGAGAGGTCTTGGTGAAGCAGTCCAGGGAAAGAAATAGACACTGGAGGGCTGAGAACGTCGACAGGTGCTCCAGTCTTGGGAGGATATGGGGGTCAGGAGTTGTATAAGTTAGTTGGTTCTCTAGTTCTCAGAGCAGATCCTGGGAGAAAGGGAAATAAATGACCCACAAGGTATCTGTAAGTAGGAAATCAGCAGAGGTCATCAGCTTCATGAAAGACAGGAGACTGCTCCTACTACATGCCCTGCAATCCAGACCTCCCCCCGTGTGTGTGTGTGCTGGAGGAAGTCCCATTCCAAGTCACCTCATGAGTTCCCACATCTTCACCCCTCTGATCATGTCTGTCCTAAAGTCTCTGACACCAGAGGAGGCCAAAGCACACAAAGAAGCAGGAAATGCCAGGCAGGGACACCTCTCTGAAAGGTACCTGGAATATAGCACAGCTCCCCATGACTCTAGACCATCACATTTTGCACTCATGACCATGACTCGGGGAGGAAAGCACCCCTGCTTGATAGGAGCTGATAGATTTCTACAAATATTTTCCCAATGGAGGTTTCTCAAAGATACTATGACAGTGGAGAAAACTGTCACTCATTAACAACCAGACAGTTCTGCTCTAGAATGGAAAAAAAGGAAAGAAGAAGCCTTCAATAATACCTGCCAGGCGGTGATGTTCAGGAGACCCCAGGCCAAGTCAGTTTGCAGGCCCGCTCCTTGAGCTGCAGCCCCAAGGGATGAAAACACCAAGCAAAACTAGCTTGCCCAAGGCCTCTTATGATTACACAAAATCCCAAACAAACACCGGCCACTTTCAGGTGTCTCCTCTACATGACCGTTTCCCCACTGGGGAATGGCTCTTCCTCACCTCTGCAAATAAGGGCCTGAGCCCCATATCAGAAGAGTGAAGCTCAGTTACTGCCACAATTCAGACACTGGGTGGCCTTGTGGCAGAAAGGAGTCAGAGGGCAAGACAGCCAGGAGAGCGCAGATAGGCTAGTCGCAAGGGCTTTGGGCTGCAAAGCCAGTGGATGCTCTCTCCTTTCTTCTCTGGCTCTAACATCTTCCCAGTTATTCCCTTAGAGCAGAACTTCTCACAAAGCTTGCTTTGGCGGGGAGAGCTCATATATACCTGCGGCAGTAGAGGAGGTAGCCTGTAGCTGCCTGCACCAAGTCTGGAAGAGCTATATGCCTAGATTTTTTTCCCGGAAGTTTATGTGACTCATGCATTCCATTCCACTAGTACATCAGTGGGAGTTCCAAATGGTATTTGGAGGACTTCACAAAAAAGAAGGGGACTAAGGTGGAATTGGGGGCTTGTGAGTGATTGCAAGTTTGGAGAGCTAGACTCGAAACTGAGCTTCCAGGAACTGTGCCACAAAGTGTGCTACAGAGCTGATCTGCAGAGGGAACTTCTGCAGCCACCAAGGTGCACTGGACTTTTCTTCCATGCCAGGAACTCACTTTGATTGCAGGAGCTCCCACTGCCAGAACATATGTCAGTTTTGTGCCAGGAACTTGACCTTGCAGCTACCACTTCCAGCTGCTGTCAGAAGTCTTCCCTTCCCTTCCCCATTGCATCAGCAGCAGAGTCTGACTCAGGTACATCTGATTGAACCTAGGCCACACAGGTCCATGCTCTAGCTGTAAGGGAAGCTGGGAGAGCAAGCTACTGTCACTTTCCATTCCCATAGAGGGGTGGGCATGCCTATCTCTATGACAATTCTATCTTAACGTGTTTTTTTTAAATGTTTTTGAATTTTGAGGGTTGCCTTCTTTTCCTCAAATACATCTCATTTGAGGACAGCCTCCCTTGGATCCCAAAAGAATCAACTTCCACCAGCCCCACTTTAACACAAATAAGTCTGCACTTAGTACATGCTCACTTGCCTGCGCCTCCCTCTGCAGAGAACCTCACTCCAGTGTCCTTGTTATTTCACAGGATTCCAAGGTGTTGGAAACGGAATCCGGAAATGGCAGAAATTAGAAGGAAATGAACTTTATGGTAAATTCTCCTTTCCTTTCTGTTTTCTTTTCAACCTCTGCAATCTAATACATTGAAAAATAGCTGGAAGGGTTGGGTTTCATTCATTTGAAGACTGGCTCTAGACATCTAACCTCTGAGCAAAGAATGGCTGCTTGTGATTCAGCCAGGCCTCTAGGGCTGCTGTGAACCTGGAAAGTTTTCCCTGGCATCAGGGCCTCTGCTCTCCTGGAGGCTGGAGCTGGGGAGCAATGCCATGAACTTGAGCATCCACTTGTTTGCTGGCTAAGCAATAAGGGAAGACTTGGCCTCCCTTGGGGTGATGAGGTTTGATTGTGTTCCCACAGAAGGTTGGTCTGCACATGTCACAAGGCTATCCATTTATTTATTAATTTATTTTCTGAACGGAGGGGATGGTGGCCTGCCTTGGGCCATTGATGCCTGGGGAGGCACTAGTCAAGGAATCTGTTTATAACTCCCTACTGGCCTGCAGGCCTGGGACCCAGAATACAATAAGAAGTCAGTTTCCAAAGCCTCTCTCTCTCTCTCTCTCTCTGGTACCAGACATCTCTCCTCCCTGAAAACTCAGCATCCCTCTGGAAGTGGTTTGGATGGGCTGATTATAATGAGCCCTGTTCTTGCCTTTCAGGGATTCATAATCCCAGGCTTCAGGGACAAACATCGGTGACAGTACATGGGATGATACATGAGAATTCTAATAGGAATCAGACCTGCACTCCCAGAGCCCCCCTATGGAACTCCATCAGACCCCAGCTGTGTGAGCCCTGGAATCAGATAATGGGCTTATCATATGCCAGTCTAAAAAAAACCACCCTCCGTGACCCTTCCCAAATGGGCAAATAGGACTGCAATTGAGTAAAACCACATAAAGATGCTCTGTCATCCTTCTTACAGTAACAAAAGGAAAGGATGGGGTTTCAAAAGTAAGTTCATTCATTCATTTCCTCCACAAATATCTTTAGTGTCAGGTAAAGTTTCAAATGTTGGAGAAGAAAACAGTGATCAAGGCAGTCCAGAAACCCTGTCTTTGTAGGACTACATTAAAATTATAATCATAATACCATTCATTGCTATAGAATCTCAAAATCATGGTGGTGAAGTGTCTTCCTGTTTCCCCTGCCCAGCCCATGGTTAGAAGTCATCCTCAGGACATGCCTGCTCCTCACCAGGGAGACCACCCCTCTGCGTCCTGGCTCTTGGGCATGCATGAGTGCAAAGGCTTTCTTTACTTTGTTCCTGGGACCATCAGGCAGTAGACATGCCAGCTTTTGCTCTAGCAGACACCATAGCTAGTTATGGGCTAGTGAGAATTATAATCAGGACCAGACCTCCGGAGACCTGTCAGCCTCAGAAGTGGCCTGCAGGGCGTGCGTGCTGGGCAGTGTATGAGTGGGCAAGTGGGCAAAGTAAGCCACAGGTGGGTGCAAAGAGACACAGCATCCTTGTTTACTGCAGTTCTCTCTGACCTTGCCCGAGTTGTCTGACATTCATCTTAGGAAATCTCAGGAATGAATTGGAATATACTGAACTCCTGCTATTTTTTACCATCTTCCAGGGTCCTGATTTTGGGGAAAGTTAGTGGAAAATACAAAATAATGCAGTAACTATTTCAAGACTATTACAAGACTCTTGTAAAAGACAGGAAGTGGGGGCTGGGGCTGGGGCTGGGGATCAGCAGTAGCGCACTTGCCTGGCATGTGTGAGTCACTGGGTTCGATTCTCAGCACTGTGTATGAATAAATAAAATAAAGGTCCATCAACAACCCCCCAAAAAAATTTTTTTAAAGACAGGAAGTGGGTCTTAGTCCATAAAGAGGATGATTAAAATAGTTCTTGCAAAACCACCTTGAGAGCTGAGAGTTTGGAGTAAATGCAGAGCTGGGAAGGGACTCAACAGAGTCCTGGTTCCAGAAAAGATGATGGTTCTACCATTCCACCAATGCATGTAATTCAAAGTGAATTTTCATTTATTTTTCAAATGGCATGTTTGTAATAGGCCAAAATTAAAAGAGAAAGAAGAAGATGCCTTACTTCTTTCTGTGTTTCTAAATTCCAAGATCTGGGCTTCAGGTATTGAAGCTTATCTTTTCTCATACATGCCCTGGTGGAGCCCAAGACACCCATTCCTGGTGACCAGCAGGCCGCCCAGCCCTGGCAACTGGATACTTTCATCTCAGAAGGAAGCAGCTGATGGCCTGGGCTGGTAGAGTGTGCACCAATGAACATGGCATCGATCCAGAAGGGCACATTTTTCCCCCTGTTGCTGCCCTCTACACTCCTTGGACCTGGGTGTTGGCAGGTGTGGGGAGGGGGCCCTGGAGAACTCCAAACTTTTAGAAGCAGCAGGTGTTGGCACTGAGCCACACTGCCACCCATAGCTTGCCCAGTAACGGGCTTCCCCTGCTGTGATTGGCTGCTTTCCTTGGTCCTGGCCAAAGTCTGCCTAGCAGCACAGTATCCAATGCCCTACAGCTAGAGGGAAACCAGTCATAGAGCCCTGACTATAAATACCGCACAGAAGCTATGCCAGCCAATCACCCTCCTTGAGGATTCCCTTCCCGGATCCTGTTTCCTCCTGGAGATGCAGCCAGCTGTGCCCACAAGAGGCAGCCTCCCTGTCCTGCCTGGTTCTGGCCTGGGGCTTCAAACCAACATGCCATATCACCCTGCATTGGCAGACACAGCCTAGCCTCGGCTAACTAACCCTGGCCTGGGGGCTTCAGGGGCCTGGTTCAGCTTATTCACCAGAGAAGACTGGAGCAGTCAGGCTTGTCCCAGGGAAGGTCCTTCCAGGTGGATCACAGGTCCTGACCAGCTCAGGGTCCCCTTTCCCATCCACCTCAACTGACTTCTGCTTGGGATCAGGCATGGGAAGCATCTGAGTGACCCATTTGGTTGAATGTACAAAAGGAGTCATTCAAATGGAATCTGTTCAGCTCAGTACCCTAGGGACAAACTAATTCCCAGACTGAGGCACTGGTTCCAGTGGTCACTCCCTGTGGCAGGCCTGCTGCAGGCCAACCGGAGGCCAGAGGAAGAAGATGGCAGGACAGGGTGGTCATGGTGGAACCTCCTACTGCCGTAGTCTGGCCCTTCCCCAGCTCCTCCTCTGCCCCCTGAAGCAGAGGTTCAAGGGCAGCTTCCGTAAGACCAAGGCACAGCCCCGGCAGCCAGTAGGTAGCAGGGATGAGGGAGAGGTCATACTGCTCATAGGAGGAGCAGGGAAGCCTGAAGATTCCCCTTTGATTGCCTATGGCAGGGCCTAGGCATCTCTCTGCAGTAGCCTGACCCTACTAGGCTCTAAGGACAAGTGGTTTTCAAAGGACAGAAATATCTATGGTGTATAGATAGTCCTGTGATGTTTATGAAACTGAATCAAACCGCACATTGTCCCCACTCCAAGGCTGGCATAGGGACAGCTGCCCCTTGTTCTCCTAACAGAGAGGTGGAAAGCTAAGATTTAGGAAACTTGGTGTTCAAGTTCCAAGTCAGAACCTCCCATATGTGGAGATCACATGAGGTCTTCATGCATATGAGAGTGCGTGGTGACACCTGTCAGTGTTGTGTTATGGCTAATGTTGTGTTATGGCTCCACAACATTAGGGGTATCACCAGCATGGTCCTGTGAGCCCCAGCCTGCGCTGGCTCCTGCTGGCAGGTGGAAGGGGCTTGTGCACATGGGCTCCAGGCATTTGTCTCCAAATTCAGGTGCATCTCTGTGCTGGTTCACAGGTGGTGTGCACACTATGGGGGTGTCCACGGGAGTGTGCATATGAATGGGCCAGGCCTGTGGATGTGCTCAAGCCTGCCTTTCTTGCAGATGCACACAGCTCCCTGCTCTGCCCAGGGAAAATTCCACTGTGTTCCCAGTGGTCACTGCAGGCCTCTCTGTCTTCCTTAAATAGGAAACCTGGCAGAGAAGCAGCACCCTCAGCAGCCCCAGGTCATCACTTCCTACGACAACCAAGGTAAGTGACTTGCTCGCTAGTGGTGACCTCTCCTGTGACTGTCCCTCTGGTTCTGCTGCCCCAGCCAGAGACAGACCCGGATGTGGAGCTCAGACCTTGGAGAGCAGCTCCTCTCTGCACCCATGGAGGTTGGAGCAAGCACCCTTGTCCTCTCCTGGCATCCCAGAGGAAGCCCTGGGAGGTTTCATGGTCTGTGTCTGCCCTTCATCAAAGGTCAAAAAATAAAGTCCTGCTGGGCACAGTGGCCCACACCTGTAATCCCAGCAGCTCTGGAGACTGAGACAGGAGGATCGCGAGTCCAAAGCTAGCCTCAGCAAAAAGCGAGCCGCTAAACAACTCAGTGAGACCCTGTCTCTAAATTAAAAATACAAAAAATAGGACAGGGGATGTGGCTCAGTGGTCTAGTGCCCCTGAGTTCAATCCCTGGTACCTCTGCCCAAAATAAAGTCCTTGTGGCACCAAACCCCATCATCATCATCACCACCATCATCGCCATCACTATAACTAACCTTTATTGAGTGCTAACCCTGTGCCAGGCTCTCTGCCAAGCCATTTCCATATTTATTCTCACAGACATTAAGCTTCTCAGTAATTCTATTTGATAGGTGCTCTCACGGTCCTCATTTTACAGATGGGTAAACTGAGGCTTGGAAAGGCTGTCATATATCCAAGATCACACAGTCAGCAGGAATCAGAGTCGGCACTTTGATCGTTTGCCCTCTACCCCTCAGCAAGGTCTCAGCTGTTACCGGGCTCAGCTTCTGCAATTCCCCTGGAAACCGGTCTCCCCCTGCTGGCTGATGGTGTCCAAGCCCTTCTCTGGCCTGAGTCAGTGGCTCCTTGGCCTCTTCTGAAACTGAGCCTGCCAAGAGCTTTCCACCTAGTGCCAAGATGGAGTGATAGGGCCCTTTCTTGAGAATCCTTACTTTTCCAGGACAGGTTCATGGCAGCTCAGGAATGGCAGGCAACAGCATCACCAGGCTGATTCTGCAATCAGCTGGATCTGGACAGGATAGAGATAGGAGGTCATGGCTGGAGGTGAGGACTGACCAGAGACCCCCCACACCCACCATGGTTAACAGCTCTTCAGTAGAGTCTCATGACCTGATGTCGGAGGACCCTCAAAGGCTCAACCCAAAGAGTTTGTCACCAGGGCCTTGAAACCCTAACCTGCAAGGAAATCATCTGATGACATCCAGGGGAGGATAGCGGTACCCCCTCCCTTCTGAAACAGGAAGCCTCTGGAAACCCAAGAGCCCTCTGGGAATTGCTCTCTGAAATGTAGGCCTTCTCAACATCTTCACAGAAAGGCGCTGGCAGGTAGTGAGCAAGGGCCAGTCAACTCAGGTCACCAGCATGAGAGCAGGAGGGAGCCAGCTGTCTTTGCATTCTGTGTTTTATGCTAGAATTCCTGGGACTACAGCCCAGGATAGACACTAGAGCCCAGTTAGTGGGCCCAGCAAGACCTGCCACCTGCCCTGACCACCATATGGACAAGCCCGGGCCCTGCTGTTTCTCTGAAATGAACTTAACTGCACGTGGCTCATGAGCTACCCTGCTAGAAAGAGAATAGACTAGCTGGCCACTGGTGTCACTTAGCCACACAGATAGAGGTTCCCGGTCTTGTGCATCCAACATCTTGCGAGGAAGGGAGGACAATCCTAACAAGTGAAACTCAGTGAGGCAGGGGAGGCCGAAGCAGAAAAGATGATGGGGTGCAGGGGACCTGCTAGCAAATTTCCATCAACTTGGTGGCTTTCACAATTCAAAAATACTGACACTTCTGGAGTGGAAATCTAAAATCAGCTGCCCTGGGCTTTTGGAGGCTCTGCGGAGGAAGTCATTCCTGGCTTCTTCCTGCCCCTGAAGCTGTTGGTGCTCTTGACTTGTGGTTAGTATTCCAGTCTCTGCTTTCATTACCACCTACCTTTTCTCCCCACGAGCAGTTGAGTCTCCCCATCTCCCTCTTATAAGGATATATATGGTTGCATTTAGGGCCCAGTGGCAACAAGGATAATCTCCCTGTCTGCATTTAAGAGTATCTGTAAAGTTCGCTTGCCATAGAAAGCAACTTTCACAGCTTCCACAGATCCCTGGCACGCTTGTCCGTAAAGGCCATAATTCATCCTACCATGAGGGATCAAAATAGAGTAGGTGAGAAAGGCCTCATTGAGAAGGTGACATTTGAACCAGGAAAGAGGGGAGGGAGCAAGCCATGAGGGCATCTGGGGAAGACCTTTCAGCAGAGGGAGCGATGGGGTGCAGAGGCCTGAGGCAGGATCCAGGGAGCAGGTGGCTGTGGCTGGAAGGAGAGGGAGGGGTATGGTTAGGGGAGGGAAGGAGAAAATGAGTCAGAGAGGATCTAGGGCAAGACCTGCAGGGCCTGGGGCTACCATAGGCATGCTGGCTTCTAATCTGAGTGTGTTAGAAATTATTGGATGGTTTGGGACATGACCGCTTCCAACATGTGGAGAATAAACTGAAGGGGCCAAGGTTGGAAGCGAGAAGACCCCCTAGGAGGCATGATCCTGTAGCAAGCTTTTCCTGTGGTCTGGATCCCAGATGTGAGTCAAGGACAGGACCTAAACAGTGGGGAAGATGAAGGGAGAGGAGATGCAGCGGGATGGGTTTAAGAAGAAACATGAAGAGTTCAGACTGGGTCCTGCTGAGGTTGCTGCCAGTCAGTATTTCCCATGTTACTTTCTCCTTATCCAATGAGCCTTGAACTTCTTAAGCTCTGTTCTCTGGACTACCAGAAGCTCTATCTATCACAGTAAATACAGTGACTTACTATGTGCCAGACATCGAGCTGAGCGACTTTTATAACTCACCTCATTTAATCTTCACAACTACACTCTGGGGATGGGGTTGTCACCCCCATTTTACAAATGGGGAAACTGAGGTTCATAGAAGTTGAAATAACTTGCCCGAAGTAACACCGCTAGCAAAGCCAGACCCAGGAGCTGAACCATACCTGAACACTCCCAGAGCCAGTGGGCTTAACTAGTCCACCATGCCACTTCCTCCACAAAGGACAGGGACCAATATGGTGGCCAACTTGGATGCAGGACCTCCATCCCACTCCCAAAAAGAAACCCAAGATTTCATCCAGAGATGGCTGTTCAGAACTCTCAGGTCTTCATACCGATGGTCTTCTGTGATGCACATATGGAAGACAGGAGAGTGATCTGTAGGAGGAGGCCCTGTGACTTCAGGTCCAGCGGGTTATTTTGAGGAGTCAGTATTTCTTTCGGGCTCCTGTCCTTCCAGTCATCAGCTCTTAGCACCAAGCAAACACTCTTGGACCAGAAGGGGAGCAACCTTCATTGATCATGCAGGAGCTTGGGGACACTGCCACATTTGCAGACCTGGGACTTCCTTGTGGAGCTCCATTCTGCAGAAGGAGTCATGAATGTTCCTGTGTTTTCAAGGTCCATAGGAAACCAGGGGCGGTGGGGACTGTGAGAGAAACCTGTCATCTCACACATCAGCAGGGGCCCACACAAGTTCAGCCCTGAGCTATGGCACCCTGGGGTGTCCTCTCATACCAGAGCAGCTAATACGGAAGGGGGCCCTTCATGCTGCATCTGGTAATACCTATAGAGGTGGTGCTCTGTTGATGTTCCAAAGAACCGGACATTTCCTTGTCCCCACCTAGCATGCTGGGATGTTACAGCTCACCACTTCCTGACTACAGCACCCTGGGCAGGACCACAGCACACCTCTATTGAATACCTGCCCAGGGTCTGTTTAAGGTTGCTTTTACAACGACAAAAGCTTTAACTAAGGTTTTCCCAACCGTCAGCTAATACAGGAAAAATTTCCAAGGCAAATAATCCAGGTCGTAAGCATGGCAGCCTGTTACAGAAAGAGTTAATGAGACCTTAAGTAGGGGATGCAAAGTATCTAATGGCAATCCGGCAGCTCTGCTCACACATGTCTACTCATGCATGAGTGCACACTCACACACACACTCACACGCATGCACACACTCACATGCATCCACACACTCACATATCTGGCAATCTTTGTTAATTGATCAGAGCTCCAGGCAGCCACTTCCAATCAGTCAGAGCTAATGAACAACACGAAACCTGTTTGCCCTCCCTGCATTAGGTATTCTGAGCAAATTAGGCCTTTGCACACATCCTGATTGAAACCTGAAGATATCTGGAGAGGAGATGTCAGGCAAGAGAAGCATCCTGACTGGATAAAAGGCAGGCCCAAGGCGGTACACACTCACAGCTGAGCTTGTTTGCTCCTGTGCATCTCCACTTCTGAGAGGGTCAGAAAGGAAGACAAGCCAATGGGATTTGGGAAAATGGCCTGGGAGCCACCTCGTGGGGTTCGTGGGAAATAATCTCTAACATGCTTTTACTAAAATGGCCAGAGCTGCAGTTTCAAAAATGCTGACTGGGTGACAGCTAGTAGAGCAGGGGAAGGGTGCCCTGAGAGAGGTGGGACAGGCCACCTAGAGTCCCAGGAACATCTGATCTGAAGGGGATTCAGTTGCACTTAGAGCTGACTGTGAATATTATTCCACATGATGACTCTATAATTAGAGATTGATCGAGTTAACATTTTTTTTCTTAAAAGAGATTCATTTGATACAGGAATGTCAAAGCCTACAAACCCTCAGTAGTTCATGCTTTTAGGAAGCTCGAAGCTCTCTAGTGAATGCTACCCACCTTGAGACCACATGCCCACCCCACCCCTGGTCCTGGAGCTTGAGAAACCTCCCGGAAGTGCCCTCAAGCACCAGTGAATGAAAGCAGGACTCACACTCCCCCAGAGCAGGGAGGCCAGAGATTTGCCCTTTTCTTCAAGGCAGTGATCAACAAGAGCACAGCTTTGGAGAAAAGTCAGGAAATGGGACTGAGGAGAATGTCGGACATTGACCCCTGTCCAAGAGGAAAGGGGAACTTCAGGAAGGAGAGAAGGGATTGGAAGTAGTGATGGGCAGAGCTTCTGGGCCAGGCCCTTGCTCCAAATGGGACTTT